CCGGGAAGACCAAAATCGGGGGGCGAGCGAGTTCGCTTTACAACGTTTTGACAACGTTGACCATGCCCGGGGTGTACTTCAAGGGGACGCCTTGTTTGAGAAGTGAGTTGAGAGGCCGCACCTTGGTGGCGAGATTCTTGAGGAATTTCCGGTAGTAACTGAGTCCACCGAGAAGGCTCCGAAGCTGCTTAACATTCGTCGGCGGCGGCATGTGCGTGAGCGCCCTAACCTTGACGCCATCAGGGCTAACACCTGCCGGAGAGATGGTGTGACCGAGAAAGTTGGCGTGCGTGGCGCCGACGCGAGCCTTCCCTGGAGACAGTTTGAGGTTGTACTGTCGCAGTCGTTTGAAGAACTCGATCAAGTTCAGCACGTGTCCCAGAGGTTCCTCATCGAAACAGATGACATCGTCCAGATAAGCAAGCACACGCTCCAGACCGTGCACCACTCTGTTGATGACCTTGACGAACCAAGACGGACTTGCGTTGGCGCCCTGCGGCATCCGAAGCCATTCGAACAACTGCGTGGGAGTGCAAAAGGCGGTGAGCGGGACAGTGTCTTCATCACAAACGATCTGGTGGAAAGCCGAGTTGAGGTCGAAGATGGAGAACACTTTCCCGGTGTACAGAGAATCCAAGATAACGTCCACTCGATGGAGAGGTTGTCCATCCAAATCCACCAGAGCGTTGAGACGTTTGTAGCTGACGGTGATGCGAACAGATCCGTCCTCCTTGGGGATGACAACTAAACGAGAAGCCCACGGAGATGTGGAATGTTGAATGAGCCCTGCCGCCAAATACTGGTCCAAAACGGCATCCACTTTCTTTTGCATCAACGGGTTGATACGATACGGGCGTTGCAACGGGCTTCGTCCCTACTGGGATAGAAAGCGTGAACGGCATTATGGTGCAGGAACCAAAATCGGTTTTCGAAGTAGAGAACACGTCAGAATACTCCACAAGGGCGTCGGCCAAAAGATCAATAGCCTCCCGTGTCCATCCCGGATTGTGTAGATCGAAAGCGATGTCGTGCATATGTGCGGGCAGCTAGCCCACAAGCGCATGAAGCTGGAGCGCTGAGCCTCAGAGGAGCGGTCGAGTAGTTATTGTGGAGGCGGCTTCGGAGGAGGCGGGGCGGAAGCTGGGTCCGGAGAGCGGTGAGTCCCGGACTTGGGGCCAACGGCGTTGACCCAAGGTGGTGATGTAGATGTTGTGGGGCCGGTAGGAATCGAAGATGGTGCCGCCTTCAGGGTTTCCACCGGTACTCGTAGTAGCGGCG